TTTGATATATTAACTTTAGTGTTTTTGCATTTTGGTATATGATAAATATTGACTACAATGGTTTGAATTTTGATATATAGGGTTTAGTGATGTGAATTTTGATATTTGTAGACGTATGAAAAAAATTGACTTTAGTGATATGCATTTTCATGTATGAAAAATATTGTCTTGGGTGATATGATTTTTGATATATTGACTTTAGTGAGAAGAGATGGCTGGACGTGGTCTGCCTCTGCCGGAAGTCATAGGTTTCAGCGGCTATGTAAAGTGGATGGGATTCGATCCAGTGTTGCCGGATGTACCGTTTAATCATCCAAGCATAGTAAGCAACTCTATATGTTTTCAATAAACTAATGTGTCAAATATGCTTGTATAAATATATTTTCTAATATGTATATATATGTGATTGTTAAATGTACCGTAGGTAATTAACCCAATCATTTGGCTTAAAGAGACACTCTCAAATTTTGGGGTTCAGGAAGCGGTTGTTTAGACCTTTCATGTAGATAATGGTCCATTAATCCAATGTTGAATTGGCTTTTCCATCTCCGCTAGGATGGGTAGAGGTATTGTACAAATCTCAGAGATGGGAATAAAGGCGCCCCAGCAGACCGCTGCACAAAAATATGCTGTCATTGCATGTGTAATGAAGCTTGCGAATATTGGGTACACCCTGCCTACACTATTCTCCGTGCTGATACAAGCTATAAATGCAGACATGCGTTATGATGTTCCGGGCTTTTGTGCAAGCATTGCTCGAAACAACCGAAATGATGTGGTAAAGTCAAAGTCGAACTCATAGCTTATATCTGGATTTATTGTTATATGTTGTAAAGCTTGGTTCTCATTACCTTTTTTTCTGCCAACACTTACAGGTTGAGGACTATGCACTACGGGAATCAGGATATTTGCCCAGTGCCAGGAGCACTCGGTAAAGCCTAAAAAACACTCGGCAAACGACACCCGGCGAATTTTAGTCGGCAAACAAACTTTGCTGAGTGTTTTTTGTCGGGCACTCGGCAAAGCCTTTGCCGAGTGCCAGAAAAGCACTCGGCAAAGATTTACACTCGGTAAAATGAAAATGCGAAAAACCCAAAAATAATAGCAAAAAATTTCAATTTTTTTTTGGGGGGAGGCGCCACCGGCCAACGCGCGCCTGTCTCCATCGAAGTCGCTGCATTTTTTGCGCTAAATTCGCGGCTAACGCAGCCGGCGGGATTCGAACTGACGACCTCTCCCTCGCGTGTCTGCTGCTCTACCACTGTACTACACTGTCACTTGTATCTAGATTCCATTATCTATCCTCATATATTATACTAAACCGAGAGTAAATTGCATGTTTGAGGCCCTAAACGAATTCAACTCAAAAAGTGGTCAACTATAAAGTTTCGTAACTTTTCGAGATCTACAATTTTTATTTAGGAAGTTTTTCCATCCGAGGTCGTTTTAAAAATTCGAATTTCAAATTTGAGAGATTCAAACGTAGTTTTGCATGATAAGATGATCTCAAATCAAAAAGTTGTCAACTACATAGTTTCATAACTTTTGGAGATCTACAATTTTCATTTAGAAAGTTTTTCCATCCGAGGTCTTTTGAAAAATTCAAATTTTCAAATTTTCAAATTCAAACGTCGTTTTTGCATAACAAGATGATTTCAAATCAAAATGTTGCCAACTACAAAATTTCATAACTTCTCAAGATCTACAAAGTTTATTTTGGTCATTTGTTCATCCAACATAGTGGTAGTAACATTGTTCACAAATCTTATATATCTCTCTTCTACTTTTATGAAACTAATATGAGAGATGAGAGATGTAGATTTTATGAACAACGTTATTGTCGCTTTGTCAAATGAAGAAATGACTAAAATAAACTTTGTAGATCTTGAGAAGTTATACAACTTTGTAGTTGAAAAGTTTTTCATTTGAATTCATTTAGGGCCTCAAAAATTGTTTTGAAAAACTGATTTGCCGAGGGCCAAAAAAAATATACACAGCAAAATGCCTCTTTGCCGAGTGCCAAAACAAAGGCACTCGTCAAAATACATCTTTGCCGAGTGCCAGAAAAAAGGCACTCGGCAAAGACGCATTTTGCCATGTGCCGAAAAATAGCACTCGACAAAATACATCTTTGCCGAGTGTCAAAAAAAAGGCACTCAGCAAAGACAGCATTTTGCAGTGTGCCGAAAAATAGCACTCGGCAAAATACATGTTTGCCGAGTGCCAGAAAAAGGCACTCGGCAAAGACGCATTTTGTCGAGTGTTTTTTTTTGCCGAGTGTATTTTATTTGGCACTCGACAAAGACCGTCTTTGCCGAGTGCCCGATAAAATACACTTGGCAAAGCCTTCGGCACTCGGCAAAGTGCCGGTTTCCGGTAGTGATGACTTAACCTACAAAGGGTGAAGTTTTGAAGCCATTCTAAACCAGACAATGTATCAATTGGGTTATGATTGGAAATATGCTCATGAATGGCCAACACTCACTACGGAATGATTTTAGACAAAGCTGTTTGCGACTAAGAGGGGAGACCCACCGACTTTTCGAGCACCGTTAAACGTCATTAGTAGACCCTGTGCTCATAGTTGTGAAGCAAGGGAGAGTGCACTAGTTAATGCGTTGGTCTTCATCAAAGATATTTTTGGATACCACATCGTTTACCTACACTTCACCGAATTGAAAATATGAGAAAGTCAACTTCATTAGGTAGTAGTCGTGACATACTATGTTTGCATGAACTTTGGGGAGTACTTGGACATGTAGTGTGTAATGACTTGGTTTAAATTTATTATAGTTTTATGAAATTTGATTGTGGGATGGATGATCATTGTAATATACAACATATTACTTAATTAGTTTCACTCTTAATATGTGCATAGGTGGCAGCGCCTGAGGCCCAGGCTGGTATGGAGGTGTAATACGTGGCAGCGCCTGAGGCCCAGGCTGGAGCCGCCTTTACTGTCGGTTGGTATTACCAACCGGGACTAGGAATCTCAAATCAATCCTGGTTGAGGGGGGCGGGACTAAAGCCAGGCCTTTAGTCCCGGATTGGTAGTCCCGGTTAGGAAACCGGGACTAAAAGGGCTTTCCCAACCGGGACTGAAACCCACTCCTGCACTAGTGTGTTGACACCCAAATATGTCCAAAGTACATAATGAACTCCTCCATCATGTTTCTATCATCAAGATGGCCAGAAAGGATTCTTGGATCATCGCATTTGGAGCCCGGACGAAGGAAACAACATTTTTGAGGCCTGAACCAGCCAGAGTCGGCTTAGCCACTGACTTGAGCAACTTTTTCAAATGCCAAAATGGACTTCACTCTTGCGTTCCTCTCGTCGAGCTGATCGAAAAACATATACGGTTTGCCTGATTTGGAGTCCGGACGAATTAATTATGAATTTTAGAAGCTTTTCACCCGAAATTTCGAGAGCCATTCTTCCTCTCCCCTATGTTGCATATATATGTTTCAAGTATTTCAAGCATTGTTGCAATTGTTTTATAAGGATGTTGCAAAAGTAGATCGGAGGATGTTGCAAACGTTTATTCAAAATGTTTCATCTATTTCTAGACGCATGTTGCAATCGTTTTGATTTGGATGTTCCATATGTTTTCACACATATATTGCACAGTATGTTTCAAAATGCTTCATCTGTTTCAGTCTTCTGATGCAGCAAGTGTTTTTATATAGCAAGTTGCAAGTATTCTATCTGGATGTTGCATATGTTTCCACACATATGTTTGCAACTGTTTTTCAAGTGCTTTTCATGTGTATTTTGCAAGTGTTTCGGACACATGTTTCGAATGTTTCAGCTGTTTTGTACGTATGTTGCAAATATTTCATCTGGATGTATCAAAAGTAAGTCGGGGATGTTGTGCATGTTGCAATGTGAGCCACCTGCCGCAACCTCTTGCTGCAACTGCAGGGGCGCCGTGCATGGAGGGGAGCGACGCAGCAGGCGTGGAGGGGAGTGGTGCAGCAGGCGCGGGCGTTGCAGGGGAAGCGTGTGGGAGCGGCGCGAGCGGGCCCCGCCTCTGCGTGCAGTAGGCGGTGGCGCGGGCGTTGCAGGGGACCGTGGGGGGAACGGCGTGGGCGGGCCCCACCTCAGCGTGCTGCAGGTGTTGGCGCGGACGTCCGGACGCGGGGAGGGGGGTGGGGGGTTTCCATCCTGGCATTGCTAATGACTTTGACGTGTATTGCGAAATGGCATGACTTGTAAAATTATAGATTGGGCGTACTAGTGTGTATATGTAACTATATACTGTATTCTGCTAATCTGCAAACTTGATGGGCGCGAAAACCGCGCTAATGGAATCGAGCAACAGGCCTGGGGGCAATCCAGACCGGATCAACCCGCAAAGCTCTCTCTCAGTCTCACGCACGCCCATTCTTCTCGACTTCTTTCTCGATCGTCACAGAAACTGAAGACAGGAGGAGGATTAGGGATACGGCGGTAGCCGTTTGGGTCTTCCGCTAATGATGAGGCGCAGTGTACTCGCGGGGCTTTTGAGGCGTTCCCATCGCGGCTAGCCTTTCAGTACCACGGTCAGAGACAGACACCCGTCGATCCATCGGTTGCGCAGCGAACGACGCCATGTTTGTAGACTCGCTGACCATCAGACCATGCACGCATTCGACTGTGCACACACCTGGTTTTGAAATTCAGGTTCGTCAGATGCCTGCCAACCCCACGTACAATCAGTGCCGCTAAACAACTTACAACTCGCATGGATCAGCGCAGTCGCAGCCTAAAGTGACCACCTAAGTGCTTTTGTTGCAGCAACTCCCTTTTGCCTCCCAACAAAGTTTAGTTTCAGAAAAGATTAGAATTTAGAAGAAGAGGGCCGGGAGAACGGCTAGCTAGATACATAGATCATGCCTTAGTCCTCCACCAATGGATGCAACAACGACTTCAGTCGCCGCCAGCGCCAAGAAGATGAACAGAGAGCTGAGAAGAAGAAGCCCTCTTTGTCGTCGTCGTCGTCGTGGGTCGCCAGGTCCATGGGGTTCTACTACCCTCCTTCCACCTCCAGCAAGAGCAGAACCCAGCCAGCACCAGCCGCAGCAACAGACAGCAAGAACGGCAACAGCAACGGCAGCAGCAAGAAGAAGAGGAGCATCAGCATCGGCCGGAGCATGACTTGCGCGGGCTCCATCTGCAGCACCAAGGAGAGCTCGGTCATGAGTGACCGCGGCGCCGGCCGCAGCGTTTCCAGTAGGTCGCTCAGGGCCCCCGACGTCGACGCCGTGTACGCCTCCACTGCCGCCGCCATCTCCGCCACGTCCTCCTTCAACTCGGACACCACCACGGCGGCGACCACCGTCACGACGTCCTCGTCGTCGCCGCTCTCCTCCGTCGGGAGCTCCTTCCGCGGCGTGCAGCAGATCAGGAAGCTCTCTGGCTGCAACGAGTGCCACTCCGTCTTCGAACCCAGGAGCTTCGCGGCCGCTGCCGCCGCCTTCCCCTGCGCCGACTGCGACGAGGTGTTCGCCAAGGCAGAGTCGCTTGAGCTCCACAGAGCAACCAGGCATGCAGGCATATACCTTGTTCTCGAAATCCAAAAGCAAAATGGCATCATTAATTTGAAATGTTCAAACTTTTCACATTCTTGAAAATTTATTCATGTAAACAAATAATGCAATAAATAATTGTTAGATTAAGTGTTCTAAGGTATGTTCATCGGATCGGGATACTTAGCATAGGAATAGGTGCTCGGGATTTCACAGAGAGATTGAGAGATGGGTGATAGGTGGCAAACCGTCAAATGCCGTAGTTGTTGAAGCTCCGGCCGGGTTTCGTTGACGGACGCCATCTGCCGCGGCCGGCAGCGACGGTCGGTGAGCGGGAGTGGCGTTGTGGCGTCCTCGGCGGCGGCGTGAGCGTCGGGTGGCGTTGCTGGCGTCGGTGGTACTTCCCGTCGCTGGCAGTGCCCCTACTTTCGATCGGGGTCTAGGGTTTAGGATGTCGGTGGGGTGAGTGGCGGCGCGGTCAACCTCGCATCATCGCGAGCCCCGCCCCCACCTTTCCTTTATAGAGCGCTGCATGGCGACAGGGCCCACCAACCATGAGGGTTGGGCGCCCCGATCGTAGCGAGATAAGGCCCGATTAGGCTGTTGGGCCTAACGGTGGGAGATCAATCCTAACATTCTCCCCCTTGATCTCTCATCTATTCTTCGTTCTTTAATTTCATATTCAAAACTTTCAATTCATATTTTTCTTGCTTCCATCCTATTTCATCACAGATTAGTGCATAGAACTGTCCCATCGTCACAGCAATTAGTGCCGTTAGACTAACAGCCACAATATACTTCTCCGTTTTGAAATGTAAACTTTCTTTTGGGCCCTTCAGATGTTCGGGAATCATAGGCTTTCCCTTAAACCCATACGCGGCCACGTGTTTCTCTGAACACGTTGGGTGGTAAGCCCTTTGTGAGCGGATCCATGAGCATTTTCTCTGTACTTATATGCTCAAGATTTATTATATGATCCCGAACTTTATCTTTCACAACATAGTACTTTATGTCAATGTGTTTGGCGGCACCACTTGACCTATTGTTGTGAGCATATATTGTACCATTGGGTTGTTATCACAATACAACCTCGGTGGTTCTTTTATATTATCAATCACTTTCAATCCGGTATGAATTTCTTCACCAATTCACCTGCCCCGTTGCCTCATAGCATGCTATAAACTCGGCATACATTGTCGAGGATGCGATTCTGGTTTCTTTGGAGCTTTTCCACGATATAGCCCTCCTGCGAGAGTAAATACATATCTCGACGTGGATTTTCTTTCATTTCCAGATAATCGAGAATCTGAGTACCCCTCTATCGCAGGGTATCGATCTTCTATACGTAAGCATGAGGCCTTTCGTACCTTGCAAATAACGCATGACTTTCTTCACTAATTTCCAATGTTCAATTCCTGGATTCTTTTGATATCTGCCAAGTAACCCGGTAACAAAAGCTAAGTCAGGGCGTGTACACACTTGAGCATATTGTAAACTTCCAACAGCTGAAGCATACGGTACCGCTTTCATTCGGTCAATTTCATATTGGTTCTTGGGACACTGATGTTCCCCAAATCTATCGCCCTTGACTATAGGAGCAGGTGAAGGCTGCACGCATGCATACTAAATTTCTTCAGGACCTTTTCTATGTATGTCTTTTGCGATAATCCTAGAACCCCTTTTCTCCTGTCTCGGTGAATCTCTATTCCCAAAACGAACGAGGCCTCACCGAGATCTTTCATATCAAAGTTTGAGGACAAGAATTTCTTTGTTTCCATTAGTAGATTGATATCACTGCTAGCAAGCAAGATATCATCCACATACAAAATTAGGAATATGTACTTTCCATTCCTGAACTTTGCATAAACGCAATTGTCCTCAACATTTTCTTCAAACCCAAAACCTTTTATCGTTCTATCAAACTTCAAATACCACTGTCTTGAAGCTTGCTTCAATCCGTAGATTGATTTCTTCAGGCGGCATCCCATATTTTCCTTTCCTTTTACGACAAAACCTTTCGGTTGTGCCATATAAACATTTTCTTCCAAATCCCCGTTTAGGAAAGCCGTCTTTACATCCATTTGATGCAACTCCAAATCATAGTGGGCTACAAGTGCCATTATAATTCTGAAGGAATCTTTACATGAGACTGGAGAAAACGTCTCATTGTAATCAATCCCTTCTCTTTGCGTGAAGCCTTTCGCCACAAGTCACGCTTTAAATCTTTCTATATTCCCTTGGGAGTCATATTTCGTTTTGTAGACCCATTTACAGCCTACTGTTTTGGCTCCTTTAGGAATATTTTCTAGGTCCCAAACTTTATTGGTACTCATTGATTTCAATTCATCTTCCATGGCCTTAAGCCACTTTGATGAGTGGTCACTTCTCATGGCTTCTTCAAATGAGGTGGGATCATCCCCCATCTGACATTCTTCTGTTTCATAAACTTCATAGTCATCAGTAATAGCTGATCGTCTTATTCTTTGAGACCTTCTAGGTGCCTCCGGTACTTGTTCCACATTTGGTTGTTGTTGTTCTTCCTCATGTGCAACATTTGGTTCTATAGGTTCCTCAAGGATAGGTTCCTCATGTTCATTCATTGTCGCCATGGGAGAACTTGCAACAGGTGTTGGCACTACAGTGTCCTGCACTGTCGGTGCAACAGCAGCAGGTAGCGTGAAGAATGGTTCTTCAACCATCGGAGTGGGTACATGTACCCGCTTCTCCTGTAGGCTGATTTCTCGTGCTACCATGCTCCCCTGATCATGTTATCCTCCAAGAACACAGCATGTCTTGTTTCTACAATCTTCGTATGTCTGTCAGGACAATAGAAGCGATATCCTTTCGATCTTTCTGGATAGCCAATAAAATGGCAGCTGACTGTCTTAGAGTCTAACTTTCCTATGTTTGGGTTAAATACTTTTGCCTCAGCTAGATAGCCCCACACACACAAATGGTTAAGTGAGGGTTCCCTTCCTGTCCATAATTCATACGGTGTTTTAGGCACCGATTTACTTGGTACTCGATTAAGTATGTGAATGGCGGTTTTCAGTGCCTCCATCCATAAACTAATCGGTAATGTGGAGTAACTCATCATGCTTCTTACATATCCATTAAGATACGGTCACGTCTTTCAGCCACTCCATTCTGCTGAGGCTCCCCCGGTGTGGAGTACTGAGCAACTATGCCATTTTCCTGTAGGAACCTTGCGAATGGTCCAGGAATTTGGCCATATGGGGTATGTCGCCCATAGTACTCTCCACCTCGGTCTGATCGTACTATCTTGATTTTCTTATTGTGCTGATTTTCAACTTCAGCTTTAAATATTTTGAATTTATCCAATGCTTCCGATCTTTCTTTAATTGGATAAATATTGCCATAACGAGAGTAGTCGTCTATGAATGTTATAAACGAGTCATAACCATCCACACTTTTTACAGGAAAAGGACCACATATATCTGTGTGGATTATTTCTAAAATTCCTGTGCTTCGTTTGGCATCTTTCTTAATTTTCTTGACATACTTTCCTTTGATGCAATCAATACATTGCTCTAAATCTGAAAATTCTAAGTGCGGGAGAATTGATTCCTTAACCAATCGTTCCATTCTCCCCCTCGAAATATGGCCCAAGCGACAATGCCATAATTTCGAAGAGACAGTATCAATTCTCTTTCGCTTCTTAGTTACATCCGCAGATGGGGAATCATTCACATTCTCATCACATACATTGTTCGCATTCTCAGCAAGAGATAATAAATAAAGCTTGTCTTGTCGAAAGGCAAGACCAACACATTTATTATTAACCAGTATCTTACACTTGCCATCACCAAAATGGCAATCAATTCCATCATCATCAAGTTTCGAAACACTTATCAAATTTCTACGCAAAGAGGGAACATAAAGTACTTCTTTAAGTCTAAGTACAAAACCATTATTCAATTCTAAAGAAAAATCTCCAATGGCTTCAACATTGGCTTGCGATCCATTTGCAACTTTAATCGTTCTTTCTCCTCTTTGCAAGGTTCTCGCCCCACTTAACCCCTCAGAAAGAATTTGCAACATGAGTAGTTGCTCTGAATCAACCCACCAAGTGGATTTATCATAACATAAATACAGAGATTCATCAACAAATGTAATAAATTCATCACCTTTCTTTAGCAGAGATTTGTGAAGTCTGGACAATCCCTCTTGTAGTGTCCTTCTTGAAGCAAAGTGCTTAATTGATCTTTTTACGCTCCACCATACTTCTTGATTCTCGAGAATCCTGGGGTTTCTTTCCCTGTGAACTGGAGGAAGAGATCTTATCCCACTTAGGTTTCCCTTGTGGTTTAGAATTCTTGCCATTAAAGTTCTTTCTTTTGTTGTCCTTCACAAAATGAGCAGATTCACCTTGTGAGGACTTTATCCTCTCCTCTTCTTGAGCACACATTGAGATGAGTCTTTCTATGCCCCATCTTTCAGGCTGCATATTATAGTTCACAATGAAGGTGTCATATTCTTTTAGCAAAGAAGCAAAAATCAAATGAATCAGGAAATCCTCCTCCTTCAAATTCATTTCTTTTAGCTTGGATGCCGTAGTGTTCATCTTCAAAATGTGCTCTCTTATGCTACCACCAAAGTGAATTTCTCATTCACAAGCTTCTTAATCGATGAACTTCTTTGTGGCCTTGGTAGACCCGAAGGCTGACTTTTGATTTTCTCAAGATATTCTTTGGCAGTAGCACATTCAGGGATTGAGCCCCTTATCTGTTCTTCTATGGTGGCTTTGGCTACCAACAGGCACTTGCGGTTGGAGAGAGTCCATTGCCTATGTTCAAGGTCATATTTGATTCTTATTTCAGCATGATCACGCTTTCGAGCAGCGAAATCAGCGTCAGTTTCATTGTCACCTCTCACCGGGTCCTCTGGCTCAGTAGGACACGGTGAGGTGATGGCAAAATCGACCTCTCCCAACGCAAGTTCCAATTCATACTTCTCCCGCCACACACGGTGATTGGTTCCGTTGAGTGTCGGGATGTTGGCAATATTCACAATGCATTTGCCTCCTGAAATCACACCAAAGTAAGTAAGAAACATTTATACATAAAATTCCATGCTTTAACTCAACGTTGGTCAAATTAAAACTTATTATTCATCCATGCAAACATTTTACATCACCGTTGGGCAGAAGTAAAATTAATGCACAATTTCTCATGGTTCAAAAATTATAATATTGTTATTAACAACGTTGGTCAGAAAATAACAATATCATAATCGCATCAAAATTATCAGAAATTCATTTCTCTTAAAATTAAATTATCCCGTTGGTTCAAATTTAATCAAAGAGGACAATAATTATCATGCACAGCGGAAACATTAATAATCTTTTCATATTATTATTTTCCAGAAGCACTAAAAAATTCACTGTTTTCTGAGCAAAATATCGTTGGATAAAATTTGCACAGAAAATTGTATCAAAATCATTCAAATTCATCAAAATATGCATTAGAATTGATTCCTGGAAAATAATAAGAAAAAATTCTTCTTCTTTCATTTCAGCCCAGCGTAGCCCAGCTCGCTGAAAACGGCTCGGCCCAGCTCGTCCTCGCACGCACGGGCCACACCCAGGCCGCAACCTGGGCCTGGGCCGGCAAAGCGCCGCGCGCGCTCGCGCCCGCCTGGGCCGGCGACGGCCCGAGCATCCGTGGCCGCTGGATCTGATCGGACGGTCGTCCGTTTCCTTCGCTCGAATAAAACCCGACGCCGCGCGGGAGGCTAAAAAACCCTAGCTCATTCGGCTTCGCCCTTTCTCTCTCTTCGCTCTTTCTCTCTTCTCAGCCGCAGCGAAGACAGCAGCCATCGAGCAGCCGCGAGCGAGGAAAACAGAGCGGGCGGTCCTTTGCGCCGTCGCCGGCCCCCTCGCCGACGTGCGTGCTCCCCAACGGGTGAGCACGCCGCCGTCGAGCGGCCTGGCCGCGGTGCTCCCTTGGCCGAGCCCGGCGAGCCCGCGCCCTGGCTCTGCTTCTTCTCCGGCGTCGGCGAAAAACCGGTTCGGTTCTTCTTCTTCCGCGCCGGTGAGATTTCATCCGGCGCACCCTAACCCTACCCCTTTCTTTCTTTGAGTTGTTCTTTTCGGGTTTGTCCGAATGGGGAAAAAACTAGGGTTAGGTTTAGGGTTTGTTCTTGCCGATTTGTTTTCTTTGCCTTTTATTTCTTTCTTTTCGTTCATCCGAATGGAAAAAAATGGGATTAGGGTTAGGGTTTGACCCTTCTTCTTTCTTCTTCCCCTTTTCCCCTCTTTCGGATTTGCGTCTAGTGTTCTCGGAATCCGACCCTCCCTTTTCCCCTTCTTCAATCCCTTGTTTAGTTTTGATTTTGGAAATTAGGGTTAGGTCTTAGGGTTCGGTTTTCTACTTTCTTTCCCGATCCGCATCTGATTTCTTGACGAACCGTGGCTCTGATACCATTGTTAGATTAAGTGTTCTAAGGTATGTTCATCGGATCGAGATACTTAGCATAGGAATAGGTGCTCGGGATTTCACAGAGAGATTGAGAGATGGGTGATAGGTGGCAAACCGTCAAATGCCGTAGTTGTTGAAGCTCCGGCCGGGGTTTCGTTGACGGACGCCATCTGCGTGCCGGCAGCGACGGTCGGTGGAGCGGGAGTGGCGCTGTGGCGTCCTCGGCGGCGGCGTGAGCGTCGGGTGGCGTTGCTGGCGTCGGTGGTACTTCCCGTCGCTGGCAGCGCCCCTACTTTCGATCGGGGTCTAGGGTTTAGGATGTCGGTGGGGTGACTGGCGGCGCGGTCAACCTCGTACTGCGAGCCCCGGCCCCCACCTTTCCTTTATAGAGCTGTGCGACGGGGGCCCACCAACCATGTAGGGTTGGGCGCCCCCGATCAGGGCGCGAGGACAAGGCCCAGTTAGATCAATCCTAACAATAATCTGTGCAATGGCAGTTTCGGAGCTGGAACCCGAGGACACGAGCAGGAACATCGTGGAGATCATCTTCCAGTCGAGCTGGCTGAGGAAGCAGGCGCCGGTCTGCAGGATCGAGCGGATTCTCAAGGTGCAGAGCAGCGACAGGACCGTGAAAAGGTTCGAGCAGTACAAGGAGAGCATCAGGGAGAGAGCGAGCAGCGATGAGGGTAAGAAGAACCCTCGGTGCGTCGCCGACGGCAACGAGCTGCTCAGGTTCCACTGCACCACCTTCACCTGCTCCCTCGGCCTCGCCGGCAGCACCGCGCTGTGCCGGGCGCCGTCGTCAGCGCAGTGCAACCTGTGCAGCATCATCAGGGACGGTTTCAGGTACTGACAGCCTGGAGCAACCATTCAGACATCTCTGTCTCTGACAAGTTCTTCTTGTAAAATTATTGTGTGGAACGGCCATTTGACAGTACTGTATGTGTAATGCATCAGGGTTGATGGTGATGGGAAGATTGCGACAATGGCGACGAGCAGGCGTGCTCACGACATGGCTCAGGTGCTGTCGGACAGCGACAAGAGGGCAATGCTCGTGTGCAGAGTCGTTGCAGGGAGGGTGCACAAGGCCAGTGACGAGAAGTCTTTAGAGGACGACTGTGACTTTGACTCTGTCAGCCCCAGCACGGAAGGGGTGTACTCAGATTTGGATGAACTGTTTGTGTTCAATCCTAGAGCTATACTGCCCTGCTTTGTAGTCATATACAGTGGCTATTAAGTTATAACCACTTGTATAACTTAGTTAATTTTGTTTCATTTCACTGTTATTACTCCTTTAATGTAATCCAGTTCTCTGTTTTTATTGTCTAATAGTGAAAATTGTGGCAGAAAACCTATCGTAGTTTTATCTGCAGAACTAGTGAGTTCTTATATTCTATCGTATTTTTTATCGTTGTTTGTAGTCATTTACAGCAAGAGAATAATGTCATACGCTACGAACAAAACTAGTGAGTTGTGCCAGCTTCCAAGATCTAACTAAATCAATATCAAAACATCAGTTTGTCCTCATGTGCTGAGCTCAGATCAGATGCTTGCCTCCATAAGCATTTTTAGCTCCTTCCAAGAAGCAGCTAGACAAGAGGTTAAGAACAAATAGGCACTTTGGGAGAAGAAACGGACTGCAAATCTTATATTCTCTTGGAGATGGTACCTCCAGCTACATCCAACTCGATGTACTAGTAAATACAAGTGTAGTACTGATCCCTAGCAAGTGCTGCTTGTCTGTACAGCTCTATATAGCTAGTATATCGACTGTACAGTAGTTTAATTAACAATAATATTAGGTTGTCTGCTTGTCCATAACAAGACCTGGAAGCTGGTTCTGTCCAAACAGATCAGATGTAGAGGATTGTTTGTTAACTGTTGTTAATCTTGTGTCCCCACGTAGTGTTGTGCTCATCAGAAAACATGTTCAAACTTCAAGAAAATTCGTGTCCTCAAGTTGCCTATTTTGTTCCATTGGATGCTGCAAACAACGTACTTAGGACGCTATGTCTGGACGTGGGGTTACATCGAGATTCAACATGAAAATAGGAATATGAAGAAAATGTTTTTTCGAGGTAGTCACCAATCGCAGTGCATTGGACCACCAATTAGGACTTGTTTGATGCCCATGTATTCAAATGAATCAGCATCAATCCACCTCAACACATGTAGATTGAGATAAATATTACATGGCCATCCAAACAAATCCTTAGTAGGGCCAGGGATGCAAACCCCATGTGGTACTTAAAACATGTTGCAATTGTCTTAATATTGTCTACTGTTACAACAAAATGGTGTTCCGGTTCCATGATGTATTCTCTATTTCTCTTTGACAGCAAGTAATATAAATTTCATTGATGTATGACTTTCTTTAGAAAGCACGGTAAGAATTGTCTCATGGTTATAGCCCTAAACATTTCATGAATTAAAAACAACAAAATAGTCAGCTACCTGCAAAAAAAATAGCGAGATGTTCTTTTAAAAAAAATTGCTCTTGAGGTTTTTCATAATTACTATGCATAAAACTCTTTCTTTTGCATGAAATAAGCCAATTTACTGAAATAATAAAAACAGCAATCCCCATATCTTGTTCCTGAGCTTCATGAGCAATTCTATAATTATATGATGAATTTCTCAATTTTTTTTTTAAATTTAGGGGATTTTTGGAAATAAAATAAATATAAAATCTGTTTCCTGAACCATTTATTGATCTGCGCTTAATCTTTTTCCTTAGTCATTTAAAAGTTAGCCTTGTTCCTTAGCCCAGGCTATTTCTTTCTTCTCCCTAGCCCATCTTGGCGAGCAGGCCTCTTTTCCTCCTATCTCTATTTGCTTGCAAGTTAGCCCAGCAACCTGGCCTCCCTCCTCCATTACCTGGCAGCAGCCCAAGGGCCATATTGACCATCTACTTCGAGCCAGGCCGATGCACGTCACGCTGGGCCCTTGCCTTCACGCGGTGGTACGTTCAGGATCGAGCGATGGCCGACGATCAAGCAGCTAACGTGTTTCTTCTCAAAAAAAAAAAAAAAAACACTAACGTATTGCAATGGCGATGACATCAGCATCAATAAGAGCTAGAGCCCGGACGCCGGCACTGCACCCCGTTTCCCCACGCTTGCCTGCACTCCACGCCCGCGCTCGAGCCAGCACGTCCCAGCCTGCACCGCCAGACCGTGCCCGGGGACCGCTCGCCTCCTCCGCTTCTCACGCGCATTGCAACATATAGAACACCCGATCTACTTTTGTAACATTCAGATAAAGAACTTACAACATATCTCATAAAGACAGTTGAAACATATGCAACATACTTTTGAAACACTTGCAAAACACCAGAAAAAAACTTAAAAACACGTGTGTAGCCATTACAAACATCAAGATAAAACACTTGCAACATACGTATGAAAAAACCTGAAACACTTGCATATATAGGCAAAATCTCGATCTAGTTTTGCAACATTCAAATAAAACGATTGCAACATACGTCTGAAATAGATGAAATATTTAGAACATATACTTGAACCATATGTGTATACCCATTGCAATATGTGCAACATCCCGATCTATTTTTGTAACATCAATATAAAATACTTGCAGCATACCTCTGAAACATCTGAAACACTTAAAACATACTTTTAAAACACTTGGAAAACACTATAAAAAACTTAAGAACATATGTGTAGCCATTGCAAACATCAAGATGAAACACTTACAACATACTTATGAAAATACCTGAAACACTTGCATATATAGGCAAAATTCCGATCTAGTTTTGCAACATCCAAATGAAACACTTGCAACATACGTTTGAAATAGATGAAACATTTAGAACATACACTTAAAACGTATTTGTATAGCCATTGCAATGTGTGCAACATCTCAATCTACTTTTGCAACATCGATATAAAACACTTGCAACATACCTCTGAAATATCTGAAACACATGAAACATAAGCTTACAACATGCGTTTTTAGAGCATTATCATCTTGCTGCTTGAACGAATGGAGGCTCGTCGTTGCGAAGCTCAATGCGGCTCAGAGGTTGGCTACAGCGCATGGAGCTCACGGCAGCGCAAAGCTCGTTGGTTCAACAGCAGCGCGGGCAACTCATCTGGGGGGCGGCATCACACGAAGTCCTCCTGTCGCCTGCTTGCTGGAGGATCCATCATGGAGGCTCGCTAGCTCAGTGGAGTGGCCGCAGCAGGCGGATGCCACGGTGCGGGGAGGAGAAGGAAGTGAGACGAGTAGGAGAAGCTGGGCGGACACATGCGTACGATGGCGGGCATTGTTGCTGGAGGTGAGACCGCTGCGGTGGAGACATGGTCACGTGTGACATTTACCACAGGCTGGTTGCTTGGGCCGGTTCGCAGGCCAGCAAGTGTCTGGTTCACACGTCAGCGGACGGACCCAAGAATTACCGCATCAGCATTACTTGCCCCGATACTTTTTGCTTTCAGAAAATGAAAGAAGTTCAAATAAAAAATGTGAAGCACATTTTATATCCTAGTGGTCACCTACCAGCAGTGTGTCGGACCTCCAGTAAGTGGGACCGGGAAAGCAAACCCCATGTAGTACTTAAAACTGGCCGACAATAGTTCAAACTTGCACGATTGTTTATCGTTACAGCAACCGGTTGAACACGAAGACAATGCTTCAAAAAAGGCATCTCAACATTCAAGACAGCCCAATATGTGTCATGTGCAGTTCAGGAGAGCAGGAGACTATGGAACATCTCTTCTTTGATTGTCCGTTTGCACAAGAGTGCTGGTCCATGATAGGCGTCACCTGGGATGTCTCTTTACCACTGATGGACAGGTTCACTCAAGCGCGGTCTTCACATGCCATCCCTTTCTTCACAGAAGCAGTGCTAATAGCAGCGTGGGAGCTCTGGAAATTGCGCAATGACAAGGTCTTCCAAAGGAGGGATCCCAGCTCAGCCATCTGGCTTTCAAGTTTTAAGAGTCAATGCTTCCTACAATCTGTTTGATTCAAAGATGATCTGCGATCATCTTTTTGTGTTTGGCTTGATGCTTTCAGTTAATCCTTGTATGTATAAACCCTTGTCTTTTTTACTTTAATGAAAAGTTCTAACACTATGGGGATCTCCCCCACAGTTTTTGCTGTAAAAAAAAAAGATTTTTCGTGATGTATATTCTCTAATTCTCTGAGATAAGTAATATAAATGTCTTCCCCTAAAAAAAGTAATATATATGCCATTGATTTATGATTTCCTTTAGAAAGCATAGTAAGAATTGTCTTGGGGTTATAAACCTAAAAAATTTATGAACTTTAAAAACCAATAAAACAGTGAGCTATTCTTATATAAAATAGCTCTCCAGGTTTTTTATCTTATTTGTCATGCGTAAAACTCTTGTGCATGAAACAAACCGATTTACTAAAATCATAAAAAATAGCAATTCCCTAAGTCTTGGTCCTGAGGTTCTTGGTAACCTTCACTACTACACAAAAGATTATGCCAGGCGTTTTGAAAATGGCGTCGAAGGCGGGCGGGCATTTCAACTGCCTCGGTTAATGCCTGAGATTAACCGAGGCGGTCATTTTTATTAACAGAGGTGGTTAAAAATAACCGCCTCCTAAAATATATTAACCGAGGCCATTTTCCTAGGCGGGCCTCTTATAAGGCCTACCTCGGTTAATATGGCCAAGCCCACTCTGAATTAGAAAAGCCCATCTTAGCCCGCTTTATCCCTCTGAGTATATACATGTGGCTCTTAGGGTTTCACTCCGTCATTCACTCTCATCCTCTCCTCCCTCTCCCTCCGCCCGTCAGCGGACCGACGCCGAGCGCCCCTCCTCGTTCCCACCGCCTGATGCCTCTCTCTCTCTCTCTCTTACTCCTCCCTCCTCCCTCTCCCTCCAACCACTCTGACGCCCGTCCTCGCTCCCACCATGGCGGCGCCCCTCCTCCCTCTCCCTCCCACCACGGCGGTGCAGGTCGACCATGACGAAGAGCACGGCCCGTCTCGCCCAACGGCGCACGTGGGGGCGCGGATCCGGCCCCCACCTCGTCCCCCGCGGCGATCCAGCCCCCTCATCGTCCCCGGCGGCGGATCTGGCCCCCACCTCGTCCCCGGCGGTGGATTCGGCCCTCACCTCATTCCAGCCGGGCGGATCTGGCATCCTCCTCCCCGCGCAGCAGATCCGGCCCCCACCTCCTCCCCCCGACAGCGGATCCGGCACCCTGCTCCCCGACGGCGCTCCCGGTGTCCGGATCTG